GTGTTCGATCAATGCGTCACAGTCTTGTCTATAGACAGTTCTGCTATTGGTACCAGTGCTAAAGTTCTGTTGGTACTTTTCTCGTTTGTATTCATCATTTGAATTTAATTGAGTGAATCTTCCTTTGTCACAAAAACAAAAACTCCTATCTGTCGTCTTGAAATAAACTATATAACGTAGCACTGAGTATTGTATATGAATCCTGAACTTAGAGGTGTCAAAACTCCTATTGGAACTTGGAATGGCTTCGCCATAGAATCATTGAGAGTCAAAAATAGTACTTTCTGAAAGAACTCAGCGTCAATTTCAACAGGCTCGGGAGTTGGAATAAATGTTTGATATTCTAGGTCATTAGATGGAATGGTTTCTGTTTTAAACTGATTGATGAGTGTACGTGTGAATGGCTGTGGGTCGGGGTGTGCGTGCGGGGTGGGGTGTGCGTGCGGGGTGGGGTGTTCGTGGTGGGTGTGGGTGTGAGGTGTGTGGATGGGTTGTGAATGTGTGCGTGTGGGGTGAGTGTGAGTGGAAGCTTAGATAAAATGAAGACCTACGCCCATACCTTAACCTAAATCCCGCACCTACACCCACACCCACACCCTCTTCAAAATCGTAGCACTTAAAAACAATAATCTTTATGAAATTAACTCGCAAACGTCCAATATTATACTACAGAACAGCATATATAATATTTTTTTTATAAATGATTCTCCTTATTTTGTTTTTTATTTTGGTTCTGAACGAAGCACAAATAAACAAATGACCTTTTTGGTAACTCCATGTTTTATGAGTACTTTGAAAACTAATCTTTTGTTTTGATATACGTCAATGTTAAAATTCAAACACAATTTGCGATTTACATAAATTCCTAACCTTGTACTACATATTTTTATGTGGCTTTTTCCTTCTATACACTTTTATCTCTACATCATATATAATATCAGTATGAATACGAAAAAGAACCGGTGCTTTTTTTCGTTCTCTTATTGACACATGCTCTGCTTTTGAAAAAGTCGCATATTCACATATGTTTGTCGAGTGATGCAACAGAGAGAAAAAAGAATTTATCAATTTAAAGTCTTTTAAATACTAAGTGTATTGTGACAGAACAAATACAAATGACTAATATAACGAACTGAGTGGTTGTTGTTTCTTCCAACTTTTATAAACAAGAAAGAGAAAGAAAAAATGTGAAGCATATATATTTACATCACATTGACAATCATGAGTGATGATACAAAGTCTCCAACTTTATTCGAATATTTGCCAGTCGAAATATTTCTACAAATCTTCGAATTATTGCCACTTGAGCACCTTGTTACATCTTTCTTCGGTCTTAATTCGTACATTGATTCAGTCATTCGATCTGTTAGAGGTAAAAATCATGGAGTTAGAAACAATGACATCAATGCAATCAGTATTCTTCATTTATTTCCTACTTCCATTAATCGTTTGGTAATCATCAATGCTGAAGTTGATTTGACATCATTGATCAATTTACAATCGCTTTCATTGGAATATGCTACTCACACACAACTCAATATCATTCGTCCACATTATTTTCCTTTACTTGAAATTCTTCATATCGAAAGTAATGACAGACGACTGCTTTCATTAACTATTTAAATAGACAAAGTTCCCTTAGAGTTCAACAATAAATCGACAACGATAGTTTTCATTTTTTTCTCTATAGAGCTTCACGCATCTTCGAATAATGATCCAATGATTATCAGCAATTTATTTCAAGTGATATTATCGAATGGTTTTCCTCGACTTCGAATATGCACAGTAATGGATATTGGAAGTGTACCTTTCAATGATGAATGGACAGGATCACCTAATCTACAGATTCTCAATGTAGAAATGAAAACAAATAAGGATGAAGAAAAACTTCGATTGAAACTCCCATATGTGCGTCAGTTGACAACTGACGACAGTCTATCGATCGATCCATCTTCAAGTAAATCATCTTATATTCTGTAATGGAAGCTAAAATTAGCTCGAACATATCTGTTTTCCAAAAATAATGATTGTTTTCAAATACTGAAAATCTGTGAAATCTTTCATGATAAACATACACGTTCTGAATTCTTTTTCAGTCATTCTCGTGATAAACTATTCAATACTTGTGAATATTTTTTGTAGTGCGTAATAGGGGCTCACTAAAACGTATATACATGGAGTTACAAAAATTGAAACAATTAGAGTTAGAAAACAAGTTCATACTCGATGTTTCCCCTTTCAAGCTGCATTTGGATAGTAACAAACCACCGCCTCGTTTCAATAATACAGGAACGATTCGTCGCTGTGTTCAACAAGATCCCAGCATCATTCAAGGTCGACTTTTGCTACAATCTGAACCATACTGTCGTGCATCATTTCTTATTGAAATCGCATTTCCAATAGAATATCCATTTAAATGTCCTGAAATAACATTCGTAGATCCTATTTATCATCCACTTATTCATCAATCGAGCAAAACTCGCGCACGCAGCTGTATTTTTTGCCTTCTAGCTCCTGACATATATACACCCTCAACATCGCTGAGTAGTATTATTACGACTATTATTGAGACCCTTGATAGTCCACTGACTATTGAACAGTCTCACAATAAAGAACGTCTTGCAGAATATCGTAACGACTACCAGACATTCTACAAGAAAGCATTAGAATGGACACACTTATATGGACGACCACGTTATTAATAGAATTACAGGAAGCATTAAAGACATTGTCGATAGACAAGCACATTCATTTTTCTACTTTTTTGTTTTTTCTACTATTCAATAAAAATAATTTGCAGTGTTATCACAAGTTTTAAAATATCTTCATTCATTTATGTCCATCCTCATTTTGAGGTTGGTTTTAATCGTTCAATCCTGACATCTTGCAAGCAAATACACATCATAGATATGGTAGACCTTTGTCAGCAGGGTGTGGGTGTGTGGGGTGGGTGTGGGTGTGACTGATGGCAAGACTAACAGTGAAGACTCATATCCACCCCTACACCGACACCCTCATCCACACCCAAATGACTGAAAATTTTTCTGTTTTCGTCAAGAAGATGTAGACATCTCCTCTATATGTTAATAAAATAAATATCAAACGTCGAATGAATAAACTAGAGAAACTAAATCGTCAGTTAAGAAACGATACGTGATTTTCACTCCAAAAGCGAAATATCGAACAAAGTAATTTACGTAGTTCTCGAAAACATTTTCAATTACTAAATCGATATGATATAAAAATATCTACAGAATGGTATAGATATTGTAAAGATTATTGTTAGACAAGATATGCACGCGATTTTTCATTTATACGTCCTTCGAAATGGTGTTGTATAACAAAACAAAATGAGAAAAATCACTGATTTAAAAGATAAAGAATACAATCAATCAATATCGACAATGTATCCCTCGTAGAATAATTGATCAAAAAACTATTTTTCTAATATTATTCAAATGTATATATATGAATGGAGAAATTTTCTAAGGCACATTTATTATTATCAACTGCAAATGAAATCATTTTTATCAATAAGTTGACTTTGAATGAATTAATCTTTCCAACACATTCTTAAGATAAATACATTTGTATAATTGCATATACTTGACTTAAAGGTCAGTTTATTCAACAATGAATACAAGAAAATGACGAAAGAATTATTGAAATCTTCGAAATGTTCTAGATCGCCATCATTGTATCGATATATATCTTTGTGCGAAAAAATCCAAAGATAATTGATTAATTGGAACAGGGTGTGGGTGTGGTTGTGTAGGCCTTCTCGTCACATCTACATTTACATCCACACCCACACCCCATTTATACAAATAAACTTAAATTCAATAATATGTTCAAAAGTAAAACAAAAAGATTGTTGTGAAAAAAAAATATACCTACATTTTGTTAAGTCTCTTGGCTTTTTGTTTAACTTTGAAGATTCATCCTAGTTAATAACGTAATATCAGAACTTCTTAGATGTTCTGTCATATTTCTTTTACTTCATCAATCTTATTATACATACTGTGCTATTAAAAGTTGGTTTTATTTTTATTTGTCGAACACTCATTAAATAAATTAGTGTCTTGAATCTAGATTAAGAAATTTATGTTATTTCAGAATTAATCTTTCGCTTTTTGTGTACTAAAAATAGAATAAAAAGTCCAATATATATATATATACTATTAATTACTTTCATAAATTATTAACTTGCTTGTACAAATATGGATACAAAACAGAAAATTATTGGTTCAGTATATTTATAAACTAAATCAAAATAAGGATGTGTATATAAACCTAATAAGCCACATACATAATATTTTGAGCGATTAGTATGTAGACGTAATATAAGCAAAAATAGATTTGGCAATGCTATTAGACCATATTAAAACAAATATTAATAATAGACGTTTACATCGATTAGAATGAAAAATTTTACAGAATGAATTATTGTGACATATCTCAAAATACGTTGTCATAAGAAATTTAAAAAAAATCATACACATTTATTTTTCTTTAATAATAATTTGTTGAATTTAACCCTTCAATAAAAATAATAAGTAGTGTTTATGAATGTTTGAAGATAAAGGTGTGGTCTAGTTTCATGCTATCAGCTAGAGCGAAGAAAGAAAGATCGTCGTTGATAAATCAAAGCAATGATGGTAAACATGATTGTGCCTATCGACACTTGCTTCAGTCTTTTAATTATAGGTGCAAAAGCTTGTTTCTTTTTGTGACATAATTTTTTAGCAAATACTTCAGCATCGTTGAGATGAGGAAAATTTTCTTTTGGAATATCTTTGTTGAGAAATGAACACAGTGGACCCCAGCCATCTTGTACTTTGAATTCCAAAATTCGTTCTGGTTCGATAGCTTGTCTGATTTTGTTCAAATAGAATGGCATGACCTCTTGACCTGCCTCGGGATAGTTATACACATCTTGCCACCAGGCCCTTCGAGATTTGCTTAACTGAAGACGTGTATAAAGGTACTTATCAAAAAGACTAAGGAACATGTCGAACCTAGAATAAGTAGATAGAGAAATTAATTGTTGATAAGAGGTTAGCCATTTTTCAGGGTCCCGATATAGTAGAATAACCTAAGTAAAGAAAAAAAGTGAGTAAGAGAGAATATAGAAAGATACTTTGGCTTCAGGATAGGCTTGAGCAATTTCAACTGCAAAATCACAAAATGGTGCATCAGTTACTGCGACATATTCTGGAAATTGTTGATTGAACATCTGCCGCCAATCATGGTTAGTCCATGTTTTTTCCAAATGTTTTCCATAGATTTCTGTCCAAACAGCCATTTGAGTGGGATTTACAATTAATTTCGCCATATGCATAGTCTTGTGATAGCCTAATCGAGTAAGAGCCTCACACATTGATAATGTACCAGATCGAGGTAAACCTGCGACAATAACTTCCACTGGCATATTTAATTAGTTTTAGTGTATTGGATTCAATTCCGGTGAAGAAAAACTAGTGACGAAAGTGAAATACAGTCTTTTTTATCAATCTGAATGAATTAACATCAGATTTATATGAAATTCATTTCTATTTTGATTCAGTATAGTACATTTATAATATAACGTAAGCTAGCTAGCACAGAGTTCAGTCGAAGTAAATATGTCTCATAAAAGAGTTCCAAGAAGAGTGTGGGTGTAGGTGTGGGTGCTTTTTTATTGTATCCAACCAACACCCACACCCTCAAGGTATGGGTATAGATGGAATTAAAGCTGTCGGTTATAGGTATGACAATGTGAGGAAATTTTGCCGGCATCAATACCTACATTTCACATGCTCATTCTTCACTTCGCTAGAGAAATCTTTAAAATTTGTCGTCTATTGATGGTAGTGGTGTCTCAGCTATTCGACTTTTTATCTCTTCTTACACGTGGTAGGAAGTATAATGTAAGATCATAAAATATTTTTCTTTTATAGTTGACAAAAGAACGAACACCAAGCAAAAGTATATAAGCGTTATCTTTGTTCTGATTATTTTATTTTCAAACTTCTTCAATACAGGTATGTAGAAAAGAAACTAAATTGTTGACTATATAGAATCTAATGACAAAAAACAAAAAGATCGAAACGATGAATGCTATCTTTTATATAAATTTTTGTTAGAGAACAAAATATATCACAAGATACCGCGTGGAAAGCTCTACAGTTTATAAACGGCGAGTTCTTTTACAGTTGCACTTTTGTTCTAAAAGCTAGACAAAACTGTGCGTGACTGATTTTTTTACACTATGGAAAAGATAAATTGTGAGATCACGATAATATGCTTTTCTTATTTTATCAACTACAGAATGTTCATTCGTCATAAGCAAACTGAACCTATCCTTAGGATCGGGAATGAGTTCGATATTTCGAACTAAAATGATTGTGATTAGAATTTGGATCAGTAAAGATCAAGTCTATAGCTTAGGGTACATAGAAATATTATCTACATATCTCTCAGGTCTATTGTTCAATGTTAGTTATTCAACATAAGAAAAAGAATAATTTCAACGAGTTGACGACGACAATTGTTTTTTTTCTAATCTTGAGCTTATATTAACTTAGTAGTTTTTTATTAAACGAATGAAATTCAAAATAAGTTGTAGGAAGAATATAACGATGCTTAGAGATTCAAGCGGATGTGCTTCTTTTCGCGGTTCATCTAATCCTTCTACAGCTGCAGTTGTGAGTGCTGGAGCATGTTTAACAAGTAATCCAAGCTATCAAGCTGCTGTACCGTCTTCACCCGGTTACGGTGTTGCCACTTCGGGAGCATGCTCAACAAGTAATCCATGCTACCAAGCTGCTGTACCGTCTTCAGTGGGCTACAGTACATCGTCAAGCAAAGTTTATAGCTCATATAAACCGAGTTCACAATCTACTGATTCGTATTCATCGAGCTATCATGGTTCATCTAGTTATCCTAGTAATTCACACAAACCGAGTTCAAAGTTTGTTTACTCTGCTCATCCGAAGTCTAATGCATCATCATATAACACTTTTAAATGGTTCAATCAGAGTTCTAAAAACAAACATTCATTAGCGGCAAAAAATCATGGACAATTGAATACGAGTTTGACTTTGAAAAAACCGCGTTCTCATTCTGTCATATCGCACTCAACCCATTATCCTAATTCAAATTTTATTCAACTTCTACCAGTATCAACACAATTTCCAGATACTAAACTTTTACCTAAGTCAATGATGAACATATCCATATCAGATCAGGTAGTCAATTTTTATCCAGTACATAAAAAAGGTCCAAATTATCTCAAATATTGTATTGGATGGTTATCCAATGAGGACAAACCTCGTAGCATGAGAGATTGTATTTGGCAATACACATCAGGCCCAAATTGGTATTGCACCGAAGTCAATATGGCATTAGCATCAGATTCACCAAAACTAAAATCTTATGGATCATACATCAAACAATTAAAATATTCTATTGGTATGTCACAAATGAAATTCTCCGGTATCGTATTTCGAGGTTAGATCTTTTATAGTTGTCAAAACATTCCAGTACAACATAGCTTTACTTTTGTATAGGTGCAGACATGTCACCGAGTGAAATTCAAGCCTATGAAACGAAAAATATCTTTTTCATTCCAAGTTTCACATCAACATCGAAGTCAATGCCATTCAAAGACAAGAACACATTATTTCACATTGATATTACACCAGAATGGTCAAAATTTTGTATGGAAATTCAACCAGAACATACAAAGTATGCCAGTGAAGAAGAAATATTATTCTCTTGCTACAATCTCTATCAATACCAAAGAACAGAGAAGTCTAATGGACAACGAATTGTAAAATTAACTTTAATGAATTATAACAAATACTTTGACTATCGAACAAATACTATCTTAAATTATTATGTTTGACTGATAAAATATCTTGATTTACACATTTGTGTGTATTAATTCTTGCTAATTTAGCTATATCATATACAAGAAAATCTTTAATTATTTACATATATAAGTCACATTTGCAATAATCTGTGTATATATTTTCCAGTGTTTTATCTAGTTTCATTTTTCGAGTGGAGGGCTGGAGTTTTCGGACGGGCTGTTACTGTTAGCTAAAAAATTTTTTATCATATAGAAAATACCCATACAAACTCTTATTTATTTATTTTTCACAACACAATTGCACTTTTTTCTTCTGTTACTAATATAATGTGAAAAAAACTTCGAAAAACAAATAAAACACTTTGAGAAAAGAACAACAAATCTAAATTAAACCGAAATTCTTCGTCATTTTTTACTTTTCCAACAATCAATAATTAAATCTTTTAGATCATTATCTAAATCCGACGGTGCTTCTATTGATATTCTCATTAATTGTTCTAAATGTTCTGTTGTTAAACGATTTCGTAGGTCAGTTAATATTCTATTCATTGTACTAAAATATAACAGCCCAGATATCTTGAGCTCTTGACTAACTCTGATTTTCGATTGTTCGCTGACAAAAAATGTTCATGGGATCATTTAGAACCATCAGTTTATTTTTTAGTCGTCGAAATTGCTGAGATAATTGAATAATTCAATATTATAAACATAATAGAAATAGATAAGTCGATTTTGTCTAATTTTAGTTTCGATATTTTTTATTGCTGTTTTTATATAACCTAATTAATTGTAATGTAATTAATGCTCTAGCATACTTTTGTTTAATTTAATACAATAAAATTTATAACAGATAAAATTTTCGTGGAACTCACGTATATTTTCGAAGAAAATAGTGAGTGTAAGTTGTGGGTGTGGGTGTGAATGCGGGTCTGGATATTCTATTCTCTTAAAACACTCACACTCGTACTCACACCCACACCTACACCCTATTGCATACATAAGAGAACATATGAACGAGCGGTGCCAATATTTTCGAGGATGTGAGTGTTGGTGTCGGAGTCCATGAGACTGAGGATCGGAATCTTTTCTTGTCTCATATCCATCCATCTACCCATACTCTAACAGATCAGATGAGGGAAAAAGCGTCTTCCCAATCTTTAAGAGAGTGATGAGAATGAGTGAAGCAAAAATGTGTGGCTTCGTAAGTGTTATTTTGCATGTTCTCTCATTATCCACACAAATACACATACAAGACATTTACCCAACGAACCAATTCAACAAGTATCCGAAAGGAAATGGAATAAGATAATTTCAAAAAGATTAGGTGGTAAAACACCAAAAGTCGAGATGTCAACGGAACAAAATATTGAGGAGGAAAAAATATAGTAAAAAAAACCGGTCAAACTACAGAATGTTAAAAGATATATACCCAAACTCAAAGATATCAAAGTTGTAAAATGTTCAAAAAATTTCTTATCTATAGTAAAGAAAAAGTATGAATCATACGAAATCTAATTTTTTCTCTCTCCTTATTATTCAACATTCTGTCTGCACATACGTATATATAATGTTTTATACTTTCTCTCGTCGGGACCTTGAATTACTGTTTCTCTTTAATAAAAAATAAATTTATTGTTATGTATTTACTTTACATTTTTTCGCAGTATATTCCAATTGAAAATATAACTTTTTCTATTATTTTTTGCGTTCACGAACAATACAAAAATCTGCATTTTCTTCCATTTGACAGAGTAAACAGATAGAATATTCTATATTTGAAAATTCCGAACTGTCTCATTCCATATTTTTTGCTTTCAATAATTTGCAATTTTACCTTTGAAATCGATACATTTTATCGTTTATTGACGTGGGTAGAGAAGGAAAAAAATGCAGTAAAAAGAATGTTACCTAACGTAGCAACGACACACCTATTTTACTTATTCATGCACATGATTGGAAAAAAAATTGCATCGTATGAAAGAATGAGGGCGCATAAGAGCCATTATTAGGCCCTTGTTATTTTCGGTCGATTCATGGTTAACTAGATGCAGAATTTTGCGAGGAATGGTTTGGTGACAAAATAAAGCTATTTTTCAAGAATTTCGATGGACTTTTGCCTCAAATATTGGTATTCACTTTTGTGTTATAAATACATGATTCACGCACAAAAGAATCGGACATGTGGGTTTTTCCCAAATAAGATGTTTCGAACCGAAAATTATGTCAAACGACTGCCAATATCAAAGTCTATATTTGGTAAAAATTTCAGCTCGAACGATATAAGTTTTGCTGAGTAATAGTGTAAAACTTATCCGGAGTCAGCATAAATATCATATAGTTCTCTTATCACTTATATGTACTTCTTTTCAATGTTTTCTCAATATCTCGAGAAGGGAAAAAAACAACATGGGTTTTTATTTGATTCTTATAGCTCGAAAGAAGGGCTACAAAATGAGATATTTTTCAATTTTCTTAGAAGTGGTCTTTGTTAAATAAGCCGATCTGAATTTCCGTGGAACCTCATATTTTTGCATTTCCCATCAGTTTTCAATAGATTTTCATTGGAAAAAGTCGAGTTTTACTAAAAACTAATAACATATTTGAAATCAGCATAAAAAACTGAGTCAGTCTATGTATGTTTTAACTTTTTTTAACGAACTTTTTTTATCTCGAAAATTTTACCTGGGGTTCCCCTTTGGGATGTGTCAGAAAATGACTTTTACCGAAACTCCATTTTTATTGTTTATTTCTTTGTGCTTTTGTGTGGTAATAACGTTTCATCGGCTCATAGCTTGTTTTTCACTGATTAAATGATTTTATAAGAAAAATTATTGTCTGACAGATCCCTGAGGGGGACTTCAGGTAAAATTTTTGAGAAAAAAAAAGTTAAAACACACAGGCTGACTCCAGATATGTTATTAGTTTTGAGTCAAACTCCACTTTTTACGATGAAAATCTATTGAAAACTGATGGGAAAAGCAAAAATATGAGGTTCCACGGAAATTCAGATCGGCTTATTTAACAAAGACCACTTCTAAGAAAATTGAAAAATATCTCATTTTGTAGCCCTTCTTTCGAGCTATAAGAATCAAATAAAAACCTGTGTTGTTTTTTTCCTTTCTCGAGATATTGAGAAAACGATGAAGAGAAGTACATGTAAGTGATAACAGAACTATATGATATTTATGCTGACTTCGGATAAGTTTCACACTATTACTCAGCAAAACTTACACCGTTCGAGCTGAAATTTTTACCAAACAAAGACTTTGAGATTGGCAGTCGTTTGACACAATTTTCGGTTCGAAACATCTTATTTGGGAAAAACGCACATGTCCGATTCTTTTGCATGTTAATCACGGATTTATAATACAAAAGTGAATAACAATATTTGAGGCAAAAGTCCATCGAAATTCTTGAAAAATAGCTTTATTTTATCACCAAACGATTCCTCGCAAAATTCTGCATCTAGTTAACCACGAATCGACCAAAAATGGGCCTTATGCGCCCTCATTCTTTAGATGAACTATACATAAATCGATAGAACTTTTTACGCTGATTCAGAATATGTATTTTTCAAATTTCTAGATATCACCTGAGCCGAGAAAATTGCAAAATATACAAGATTTCAGAAAATTCAAAATGCTGCCTTTTCGCTAAAAATTTCAAGATTAATGTACCTTAGGTTAGGCTTTTTTTCAATCAAAGTATTTGATCTAAATCGAGCAGATAAAACTGGTATTTAGGCCAATTTAATGAAACTTCATACATGGTGTGAGATTTGGTTGGTTTAGCAAGACCTGCCTTGGATTTTATAGAGAGCCTCATTTTGTAAATCTATCTCCTTTTTTTCTGTAAAAGCTAAAATAATTTTTTTTTAAGCATTCGAAGCATCAGATCGATAAGAAATAAATGTGGAAACCTCGGATTTAAATCCGAGAGTTATGTGTACTTCAAAAAGTGAATCAGACAGAGGAGTCACCCTAGAATGTGTGAACATCAAAATTGCCCTGGCAAACCCTTTCTGTAAACACTTAATTTCTATTGGCTATTGCTCAGTCAATACGATTTGGAGGCAAATACAGCTCAGATTTGAACTCTTCACCTTGATTTACCCTAAGAAACTCGTTTTTCCTATAACTTGATTTCTATTGGTCACTGCTCAACCAATGGGATTTCGAGGCGAATGGAACATAGATTCGAGTTCTCCATTCTAGAAAACCTCGAACTATTATCTCTGTGATGGGAAGATAGAACTCTAATTGTGGATCATATAGAGCGTGGACAAAAACAGAACCGAATTCCGATTAATTATCTTTGCAATAGGCGAGTTAGCTTTCTTGTTTCTTTATGTTTTATATACCATTTTGTAGCTCGTGAAATTCTCTATCGAATGGTATGTAATAGTTGGGGTTTTATATGACTATGATAGGAAAAGTTTTTTATGAAAGCAGAGAAGGGTCTATCTTCTCATAGGGAAAAATGACTATTTTTGCAATAACTCAGCAATGGTTCGGCCAATCATTCTCATCTTCGAACTCGACTGAGATATTGTTAAGACTAAACTGTGTAAAAAATTTCATCGCGATCGGACTCTCCTTTCAAAAGTTATCGTGTTAACGGCCGGACGGCCGGCCGGACGGCCGGACACACTGACCGATTCTAGAGTGTACTCACTTTTTGAGTACACAAAAAGTTACATATGCTCGTAATCTGAAGTTTTAGCGTTGTTAAGAAAATTCACATTTTCTGCACTCAAGATAAAATATGGTAAAGAAGGTCTAGAAATCGTATCATTTTTTCGAGTTTCATTTCGAATGAATTGTTGTTATGCCATATAAATATGATATTCCAGCTCAGCGCAAAAAATCACGTCGAATAAGCTATATTTTGTCAAAAAATAATTTCCGTCAAAATCTCACCTGTACTCCCATTCAGGGCAATCTTGAGGGAAAATGTAGCTATGGTGGACCACAGGCAAAATTTCGATGGAAACCAGTTTCTGGCAAAATATAACTTGTCCGACGTGGTTTTTTTTGCGCTGATTTCAGATATCATATTTATATGTTGAGTGCAGAAAATGTGAATTTTCTTAACAACGCTAAAACTTCAGATTACGAGCATATGTAACTTTTTTCTTATCGATCTGATGCTTCGAATGCTTAAAAAAAAATTATTTTAGCTTTTACAGAAAAAAAGGAGATAGGTTTACAAGGTAAGGCTCCCGATCATACACATAGTACATCTTGACAAGTCTACCAGAAGTCACAAGATCGATGAAATTTTATCAAATTCATGTAAATACTACAGTTTTATGTGCTCGATTCAGCTAATATACTTTTGTTCAAAAAACTCTAATCAAATATGCATTAACCCTGAGATTAATGGTAAAACCCAGCTGTTTTCGATTTTCTGAAATCTTTTGTATTTTGCAATTTTCTTGGCTCATGTGGCATCTGAAAATTTGAAAGACACATATTCTGAATCAATGTGAAAAGCTCTATCGATTGGTGTATAATTTATTGAATTTTGTTTTCTGCTCGACTTTTGCATTGTGCGTACCTTACATATTTTTGAAAATGTGGAAGATTTTCCACTTTGTTCTTGCTTTAAGCGTCTAAGAATAATTTTTTCAGATTCAGCGTGAAAAACTGAATATAAAAAAGTTGTCAAATCGACTCTAGTCCCAAAACTGTATTAGTGGTGACGCTTCAAAATCTCGTCGAATACACTACATATAGATCAATTTTGTAAACCTATCTAGGTTTTTTTGTTTACATGAGAATGACGAATGTTTTATCTCATTCGATTCATCATATCATCAGTTACATAGTTACTTATCCTGTTTTTCCTTTTCTTTCCTGTGTTGAAAAAACTCGTTTTTACTGATACCATAGCGATTTCAGTCAGTATTCAACGGTTTTTGAATTCAAATAAGAGTTTTAGTCAGAAACTAAATACAGATTCGGAATCAGCACAAAAAATTGAGTCAAATAATATATCGTTCAAGTGATTTTGACAATTTTGTTTTTTGACCCGCATACAGTAACGTCTGTTCTCTGACGATACCTAAAAAAATGAGAAAAAATAAAAATTGTCAAAATCACTTGAACGACACATTATTTGACTCAATTTTTTGTGCTGATTCCAAATCTGTATTTAGTTTCTGATTAAAACTCTTATTTGAATTCAGAAAACGTTGAATACTGACTGAAATAGCTATGGTACCAGTAAAAACGAGTTTTCTCAACACAGGAGAAAAAAAAGGATACGTAACTTTGTAACTGATGGTATGATGAATCGAATGAAATAAAACATTCGTCATTCTTATGTAAAAAGAAAACCTAGATGGGTTTACAAAATTGACCTGTACGTAGTGTATTCGACGAGATTTTGAAGCGTCACCACTAATACAGTTTTGAGGCTAGAGCCGATTTGACAACTTTTTTTATATTCAGTTTTTCATAGTGAATCTGAAAAAATTATTCTTAGAAGTTTAAAACAAGAACAGAGTGGAAAATCTTCCACATTTTCAAAAATATGTACTTTTTTGAAAAAACGACCTCCTTCGAGTATTTCGTATTTTTCGACCGGAAGTGAATATTGACTGAGGCGAAAAAGTAGATATTCGTGATCAACAGCTCAAGTTCTATCGAATGATGTAAAAAAAATGCGAAAAAGAATTTTTTACTTGAAGTTCGAACTGCTTGCACCTTAAGCAACTGGCAAAAACAAAACATTAGTTGATGATGAAATTTCTATTTTACATAAAAATAAATCATTCTTTTTCTTTTGTGACATATGATTGACGAGTTCCATCAACAAAGCCCTATATGTATATTCAATCAATCTTATGAATAAAAAATCAATCTCATTTCAAGATTATTGAGAAAGAGGTTGTAATGCACGCACAAATATTATTGTAAAATGATACGAGAAAGAACAACGAATACTGTACGAGTTTCGTATCATCGTCGTCATCTATCACTTGATAACCAAGTGAGTTTTTTGTTTTATTGCTGATGACTTTTTTTCATTTAAATTAACTTCAGCATCCATATTCAGCCATCGAAAAACAACGATTAAATAGAGTCATCCATATATCTCTCGGATCATTAAGAAATATTTCATCAACAAATACAAACAATAAGCTTCATGAACAGATTTCAACTACTATAGATAATCATCAGAATCATATAGAAGAAGCAAAATTATCAAGTATTAAAACTCCAATAGAAAATGAAAAAAGATGCACACATTCTTGTACTGTTACTACAATTCACCGATGTAATCGTTTTCTTTCACAAGTAAGAAATCTTTTCAGAAAATTTTATATATTTTCATTGACAAACTAAGAAAAGTGGTAATGTAATAAAAAAATCATCATCACAACTAAATAGTTCTACAAAATCTCAAATTGATCAAGATTCCAATGTTCCGAGGAGTTCAAAAATTAAAAGTCATTTATTAAAATCCTGCAAAGTGACTTGTCTTGAGGTAATATACAATTTTTCTTGGTAGAGATACATGTTATACAAAACTTAATAATAAAATCTTCTTTAGGATGTTATTAGTGGTCATGATGAGGTAAAAATTCTTTTTTTCTTTTTATAAATTCATTTATTAAAATTAAAGACTAATAAAAATAAATCGTCAGATCGAAAAGGTATGACGGAAGATTACCATCGAAAGTCTAAAAAACGAAAAACGAAAAAGTTAATATTAAGTCATTATATTATAACTAATAAAATGAACCTTTTTTTAAATATTAGATGTACACGTCCATGTATCATTCTATCTTCAGTTGCAATTTTACTTGTTATATTAATCATTACTGTCATTCTACTTGCTCTTTTGCTTAAGTCTAAATCAAAAACAACAACAACACCAAGTAAGACTAGTTTGTTCTCTCAACTGCAACTATTGCAGTCGTATATTTTTCTTTTGTTTTTTGAATAAAACAAAAATTGTTTTGTTTTATAGCTGGTACTCCTGTGCTTCGCTGGAATTCAACGGGGATTACAGTGGCTGGAGTTGTTGGCAATCCAGGTAGTGGCAACAATCAACTTAATACACCTCTAGATGTTATACTGGATTATGCGAATAATCTATACGTTGCTGATTACTTAAATCATCGAGTTCAAAAGTATGTGTTTGGCACTTCAATCGGTAAGACAGTGGCAGGTAATGGGACAATTGGTTCATCTCAATATCAACTAAATAGGCCAATACGAGTGATACTTGACTCAAATGAAAATCTCTATGTATCAGATGCAAACAATCACAGAATACAATTCTGGTGTAATGGTGCTATTTTCGGTACTACAGTAGCTGGTATATCAAGTAAGATGAAAATAATGATAGATGTTTTTTTCAATTGTCTTCAGTACTGTTTATTATAAGTAGTTTTGTCTCTAAGTAAAAACTCTACTAAATTTATGTCAAATTCTAGTTGAGAATAATTGAGAAACAAAAATTGAAAAAAAAAATAGTTTTGCTCTTTCTTGTTAAGAAACTTAGTTCGAAGTATTTTGTAGATTCACCTGGAAATTCCAGTAATCAGTTGAATTTCCCTTATGGTATTGCTCTTAATCCAACGTCAGGTACACTTTATATAGCGGATTATTATAATCATCGTGTAATGTCATATGCATCTGGCAGTAATTCTGGCATATTAGTATTCGGTGGTAATGGGGGAGGAACATCTAATATACAGTTATACTATCCTATAGGTTTACACTTTGATTCATTGTCAAATAGTTTGGTTGTTGCCAATTATGGTGCTCACAATATCGTTCGATTTGTATTAGGTGTGAGTACTTGGACAGTTGCTGCAGGTAACTCGAGTGGATTCTCGGGTGCAACATCAACAGATCTTAATAGTCCTCTCGAAGCAACATTTGATCCTATGGGTAATATGTATGTTGCTGATAGAAATAATCATCGCATTCAGTTTTTTCATGATGGACAATTAAATGGTACAACCATTGCAGGAATTACGAATGTAAGTGGTAATAATGCCACTACACTCAATTGGCCCAGATCTGTAAGACTTGATAGTCAACTTAATTTATATGTAGCAGACTCAAATAATCATCGAATCCAAAAGTTCTTACGTTATTAATTTATGAACTTGACTACGTCGATCATATGTTTTCTATATGTTGTTTTACTAACATGTCTCTTTTCTTCCCATATTACTTTATATTAGCGACTAACATACACTAATTTTTCAATGAAGTTTCATTATCATAAGTTTGAATAAAAAACAAAAAAATACAGAATAAAAGTAATTGGTATATTTCTACATTCTTTTTAATAGTTTCTAAATAATGATACGCTATAAGATGCGAAAGCTCGTTATTTTTCTTCGTTGATTTAATTATTCTTTTCAACTTTATCAAGTTGTACGAACCATATGTTCTATTTATAAACTTTATGGATATTGTCACAGATAAAAATGAAGAACAATGAAAAGCTCTGCTAAACACATAACGGATTTTGAAAGTATCTCTCTGACTGTCTTGGATATCATATAACTAGTTGAATAAAACAATGTGATCGCATACAAATGATAATATTTATTGTTACTTGTAAATATTCGATATCATCGTTTTTAAAAACTCTTCAAACTTGTCTAATAGAAGAAGAATTATTATATAATAATATATAAATTAAGAAGACTAAATGCTAGATTGACGATGAGGATGAGAGCGAAAACACATACGGAGCGTAATCCATAAGCATATATATGTCACATTTGACATGAGAATTCAGTTGAATTTGGAATGCACGAATTAATTAAAAAAGAAAGAATTCTCTTAGAAAAAAATTCCTATTAAGAATAAAGTGTTATAAGCAATATGCAACAATTCATTTGGCGTAGAATTCACATGACAAAGTCACATTCAACACAAGAAATGAAAAGTTTTAATATAAAAGTTTTTTTTTTGTTTTACCAATAAAAAATAAAGCAGACGATTTTTGTTGTGCATATTTCATTTTTTGAATGTTCTATTATATTAATTGTATACGTCATATAGTAATTAGTGTTTGTTGTTGTTTTCAAGTATTGGTATTATAGGAACGTAATATAATCGATTGATTTACAATAATTTATTAAATCATTCTGAAATATGAAATGCAACGATTAAATATAAATTGTCACGAACTTTTAATTACATAGGTTTATTTCTTATTTTTCTGATGAACTTTTTTCATGAAATGGATGTTTTCAATGCAAAGTGCAAGTTTATAGAAAAATTCAGTCAGTATGGAGAAGATGTAGCTGATGAGAATATTGTATCTAAATTCTTTTTCGACGTGCTCTTTCCTTCTTTGATGTATATTGAATCATTGGTTTGTTGTTGCGAATAGTTTTTTTTTCGTTGTCACTTTCTCATAGACTCCAAGATGCCTATAGTAGGAACGATAAAACATTGAAAAAATTAATACATCATATTTAGTTTTGAAAATTTATTTATTGTAATGACTATTTTTATACGAAATATTAATTTCATTCATTATTTGTCTTATTTGCGAGTATGAATGGGTAGAGCGTTTTACTTTGCTCACACTGATTGAATATCTTTCATTTGAATCGTTAGTGATTATCGATCGAATTCGATTGCGTATAGTATTTGTCCTGTACAATGATCCAATAATTGTATGAGTGATAGTGTTAGGTTGAATGCCTGCTGTCGATGAATGATGAAGCTACAACATTCACTAATAAAACTATCCTATGAGGGTGTGGGTGTGGGTGTGGGTGGGTGTGCGTGTTACTACTCTTGATACAAAGTCACATCTACACACCCACACCCTCTAAGGCGAACTATTATTCCTCATACAATAGAATATCTTCCGCAGATAAACAGTACTTTGTCTTCATAAATGTATATGTGTTGAACTTATTATTATGACAATAGGTAGTATTGGAAGATTTTATCATGGATATTAAAAATTTGTGAAATATAGATAAAAAGTTTCACTATTCGACATTTGTGGTAATTTATCATCCTTATGTGATTTATAGATTAACTAAAATGTTGGAGCCAAAGAAATGTTAATAAATCAATACAGCCTTTAAATAAAAGCTGTACATTGTTGCATATCATTATACTCTCTAAACAATTCAATTTTAAAGAAGCAAGCATGTTCGAGCAATTTAGAAAGAAAATGACTAATGTTTGATATGCACAAACAATACAATCAATCTTAAAATATACTTTTCATCTGTGACAAAGACTATTTCGAATCGATTCTAATTTACAAAATAAATTAGTTTAACAAAACTTTCGCTGCAGCGGCAATGAGTTTTTCTGAAAGTTCATGCAAAACCTCATGAGTTTGTATCGGTTTGTTATGTACACAAATGTAACACCCTGAGATTGAATGCATTTGATGAATTAGTAACAAGAGTGCTGGTCTAATACCTCAATAGTACTGATTTTCTATATATTTTTTGAAATTCCATCATGATGGTGGTACAGTAACAGCAGATCTTTAGCCAAGATGGACATCTTCGCAAGATATGCAAGATAAAGGAGCAAACATAAAATATAATGAAGAATGACTTGAGTCAATTTCACAATATTCTACAAAGTCGTAGTCTATTATATCATTACTATTTATCGGATACAATCAAAAGTTTTGAATTTTAAGCTTTTTTAAGTTGATATGACGAGTATGTGTGATCCCTGGTGACAAACAGATAATGATGGTAGATTATCAGTAGATGTCGTACTAATTTTCGTTTTACTTTATTAATATGAAAAATACGCCAAGTATCAAAATAAATCTTGATAACTGCGTGAACAGAAAAGAACTATTAGATGAACCATGCTTGTACAATATAAAACTATATACATCTATGCATATATCCAATCAATGACATGATTGAATAGAACAGTTCGATAATGTTCAAAAAAAAAGATTTCTAGTAGATTATATTGAAAATAATCATAGTTGTATTATAGAAAATTCTATGAATGTGTTAATTAAATTCTTTTATTCTAAGTCTGATAATCTCAAACAAATTATTTCATATTGTCTAGAATGAAACTTTGTTTCAGTTAATGCGGACATTATTTTTGTTTTTGATTATTATTCTATATGAGAAATTCGTGAAGAATTAATAAAAAAAAACAAATAATTTGTTTTGTTCAAAAGGCCTATAGGAAAAAAAATTGTTTCATACAAAGACTTGACAAGATGTTTATTAATGATGAATAAACAATATAGATCTATGTACTTTAATTTACAATAATACAGTTCTATTATTATACTCTATACAAGCTGAGGCACTTTGCAGTTCTGATAGCCAATATACTTGAACCAAATAAAACAGCATTATAAACTATTCCTTTGTATGACCATTTTGCCTTTACTTTTCCATCTTTACTCACATGTAAAAGACGTGAAGTATTACGATCGATTACAAGCCATTCGTCATATTTGAGTAAACAAACATGATTTACCCATTGCTCAATACTACACATTGTATAAAATGAGAGTGACCAGAGTTGATCGAATGTTGATGAAGATCGAAGTTCTAGACGCATTGCCGTTTTGCATTTGTATGATATTATTAAAGCAAGTGTTCCATTGTTATTAGCAATGCTATGAATAAATTCGTCATAGTTACAAGTTTGTGGAGGTTTCCATTGTTTGACGAAATGAAAGGACGGTAAGAGATTGAATTGAAAAATATTAGAACTTGATTTATTCGTGGTTAGAAATAGAGATGTATCTGAGCATGTACAAGACAGCCACTGTTTCTTTTCGATCATTTGAATGTATTCAATTGATGTTAGATTTTCGTTAATCAGAAAAACTCCATTTTTGTTTGTTATAATTATAAAACTGCTTAATGTCGATGACCAACACATATCAAGAATGCTACCATATTCCCATGGGGATTGTTTTAAAAGAGTCAATTCTTTATTAAACAAACATAAATTTGGATATTGATCTAATAGTAAAAAATGATTGTTGCTAGCCAATACAGGCCACTTATCATGGGAACAATCGATTGTTCGATAAGGAGACGAAAGAGTTGAACTATTAAGTTCATTCAATGTCCATTCTTCAATATAAACTAAATTTTGATTAATAATTAAAGGATAAACATCAACTAAAATGCCATTCTCTTCAAATTGATTAACATCACGTTTGATATCATTAATAGTTGCTTTCAATGAAGAAATATCGTCACGTGTCACTTCTTGTTCTTGAACAAGTTCGTTTGTTTTTAATTTCAATTGATGAATTTTTTTTCGTTTTTGACCAACTTGTTGAACACAACGTTGTTGAAGTTCTTGACATTTTTCTTCATAAAAACGATCGATTATAATATGACAATCATGACGCCATTTATCTAATTTTTGACGACATTTGCTAATAACTTTATCAATATTTAATGCCGACAATTGATTATTAAGATTGTTAATTTCGTCAACAAGAGGATTTACTTGAGAATTGATCAAATCATCATGTTCTTTCAAATGATCAGGACAAAGATTCTTGTTGCAACAATGGCATAATGCTCGTGATTTACGTTTGCATGTTTTGATGGCACACGGTGGAGGCATTATTTTATCAAAATAGTGATTTCATTTTGCCAACGGTTATGAATATATATAATGTTCCAAGTAAACGAAAAATAAGTAAGGACGTCCGACATGACCAGTCGGGTATGCACACTACCCGTCAGATGAAGTATGGAATGTCATGCCTATCCATCATGACTGATCGTCTTTACGAGAAATGTCCTTCAACTATGTTTGGACTAGTCCAGAATATGCTTACATTCATCATGTCTACTTCATTTTATCTATTCATTCCGTCATCCAGACTAGTCAACAGGACACAAAAGCGAATAAAAAAAGGAGATGAAAAATGGATTCGAGTATATGATCCGACACTTGGCGACAACCTATGATCTAAATACTGATTGAGATGCGTTTAAACAGTTCAAATAACAGAGTGTTGCTTAGTTGGGGTGTGGATGTGGCCTTTATTAAAGATCACACCCACACCTCACACCCATTATAGAAAAGTCCTGTTATTTCATGTTTGGAAAGATGAAACCGATAGAATATCCGAGTCCATCAATGTCTAATTCTATTTCAACATTCGAATCATTATATTTGACATTTCAATTACTAATACTTTCATTACTTGATAGACGAAGAAATTTCAATTCACACCATAATCCATCAAGAATTGCACACCTTCATCTCCTATCGTCATCATTAAGGCTGAATTTGGCTAATTTAATACTTGAAATGATCGATTGAATTTGATGAAAGAGATGTTCTTCTCATTAGTTGATGCTTAAACATTCTATCTAGTGAATGATGAAAATCTCCTTGGAATGTCAACTATGCACTCTTTGTTTCATCAGATATTTTTTTTATAAGCAACATTTCACCATCGAGATATCGATTTTTTTTCGAACTGCAAATATCCAATTGAGAAAGTGTGATGAATTGAGAGATCTCATGTTGTTGATTATTTTCTGTTCACAAAGTTGTTCCTTACACTCGGATTCTCTTCCTTCAAGTAAATACAGATTTTTGATAATTTATCGTTATTGTCAAATTTATCCTTTTCCAGTCTTTGGTATATTTATTATTTTCTGTCTTGTTTTCAAATGTTTGAAACATTTCTAAGATTGCGGTACACATTATTTGATGGAGAAAATTTGAAATAATTAACAACGCAATTATTCCTCAACCACTCGTTATATGTATTGTGTCGAACAGAAAAGAATCATAGCTAGATACTACTAGTACTGAGTTTTTATTGGTTTAGCGCATATTGAATTCTGATTAGCTTGGACGAACAAACTAACTTTTAAGGTATTTATCGAGCGTATAATCCTTTCTTTCAGAAAAGGAAATAAAAGTAAAAAATTGCACAAGGAGGAGGATTATCATTCTCTTAAACAAAGTCAAAATCATGATTACGGTGCGCTAAAATTACTCTATCATCATCCTGAAGATTTTATTTTCATCTGTGTGAATACAACGTTAGAAAGATTTTTTTTCAATGAAGAAATTTACGTTCGAACACGAAAACAATCGAATATGCTTCAACAGGTTGGATTGAAATTCATGAATGTTCACGAAGGCAATAGTCAACAAATCTTGAATTTTAATATTTTTTCTTCATCTGGTGGAAAACGAGGGTGTGAGAGCAGATAAAAAGAAGACCCACGCCCTCACACCCACACCCACATAATGGTGCTTATAGAAAAATTTAGCATTTAGTGAATGCGATTGAATCGGTGGAATTCAAAAACTGAAATACATAAATGTTTTCAAAGTGATGTAATAAATAATTCTAAATCAAGTAATTATCTTATATTCTAATAATACTAGAACTTGAATACAATAATAAATATCAATCATTCTACGAGGGTGTGGATGTGACACCTATTTTGCTTCTCACCCACACCCACACCCAATTTATATTAGAGTGAACCATCGCGATTTAATCTAAAGTTCTGAAGCAAAACTGAGGCACTCGGGCGACTAAACTATCGCTAATTTTGACCTTGTTTTAGAGTCTCATCAGATAGTTTAAGACTTGAGTTTTTTTGATAGTTGGAGCGCTAATGGAACGTTCAATTGTTTGCAAGGTTTAGAAAATAAAGAAGATTGATGGTTGGAGAGGTTAGAAATTTTCTCCATTTTTGGTTTCTTTGAATCTTGTTCTCTCTAAGAAGTCGACTCGTTGAAGCTATGGAGATGGAGTTCGATTTCGCGCATTGGAAATGCTCGTTTATGTAATGAATGTAATTTTACTTAGATAACGAAGTCTAGTGAGAAAACCAACCATGTTGCTTTCAGAAGGTTATTTCAGAAATGCTCAGTTTTCCTAAGTATTAATATATTTTTAAATTGTTTGTTGTAACAGTTTCTTCAGATGGTGCTTTTTCTTGTTAGTTTTGTAAGGTTTTAGTTGCGTAAGTCGTCTATGTACTGGTTTTTGGATGAGATCGATGTTATTTCTTATGTTCACAATTAGTTCTGTTGTTATCATAAGCATTTGATGGAAAGACTGGCTCCATAGTTTATGCATAGCTAATTTACAATAGGCGAAATATTTTTCGTGTTCTTAATTTAGTATCAAGAAATATCTGTGGATGTTAACTTATTTCTTTTTGTGTATTCCACTAGCAGTTCTGGAGGCTCGAGCATGTTGCATAGACGTGAATTGCTCTAATAATCAGCAGCGTACTGAAATAAACAAGTGTTGAACATCTACACAAACCACTATAGTCAATCAACAACTGTATCAAACATTGACATAATATTAGGTTTGTGATTTATGAAATTTACTTTTTATTATTTTTTTATTTCTCAATTTTTAATTTTACTTTTTTGCTCCTCTTCTTTATTAATGTTAACTAATACTTATGATTGAAAGACGTAGTGTAAAGCCCTGCCGATAGAATAAAAACATGGCAAAAAATGGTGCAAATTTCATCATTGTAATGGAAAATTTATTAGAAAGGAATGATGTCGAAAAATCAATGCACAATAGCGATTTCGATAGATGCAGCTGTAGGAAGCAGTCGAGCTTGCCGCAAGCTCAATTGAGTACTCTTTGAGAAGCTGTGCGATGAACCTCGAGAGTTCTTGCCTCACCATAACTATGGCATCTAATGAAGCATAAGATATAAAAAAAACATAGGAATACTGAGTGGAAAAAGTAGCGCATGATATCCTTTCTATCCATACCCTCACATTCACCCACCCACGATGATAATGTAAATGCAATTGGTATGTTTTTTACTTGAAGAAAGATCTTACTCTTAATTTATGCACATTCTGTATGCAATCGTTTTTTAATATACAAATAACATACACATAAATCCTTTCAGAAGAATATTCGAACATGTACTTTTTTCTTTTCTTTCTTGACATGTAATTAAAAGGAAATCACACACAATAGATTTTCTTTTTTTTTTTTTTGTTTCCTATATTATATTAGAAGGTCAAAAGAAAAAGAAACAGATTATATTCGTTTTGTTCATACCTATCAGACAAAAAAGTGTTTTAAAAGATCGATCAACTGAGCAAAAATATTGAATTTATATAGAAAAGACAAAAACAAAATAGAACCATTTGTATGTAAACAAACACACACAGATAAATTAATAATTTGGTTCGTATTTTACTGTTATTATATTTTTCTTCATTTGGTTCTTAACAGTGGATACACATTTTGAAGAAAATATTGAAATCTTGATTATGTAAGATCGTTTTAATAAGTAAACAGAAGAAGTAAAAACACTTTCTTTTTCAATCGTTATCTTTTTTTCTACAACAATTTTGTTCAAAAATCATTTTTTAATACGTAATATCTTTCGATTTTAATAACATGTTTTTTGTAAATGTATAATATAAAATTTTTGTTTTCCAAGTCGAACTTGATTGAAAAGTTTTTTTTTTCGTCTCTTCCTATTTTTAATAGAATATTTGTTGAAGTAATAAGATTGTGATGCGCAGGCTGTCAAAAATTGTTAATCTTCTGTCGTATTGATAAAGATGAAGAAAAGTTTGTTCAGTAGAGAAAATCGATTGAAATACATATTTACGAAAACAAAATAAAATGATGTATTCTTTTTAAGATAAAATATCTCTTAATTCACTATTTAGAAATCTTTATTTTTTACAGTAAAATGAACAAAATTAGTGTATCTGTCGCTCCTATTCTGTTGTCTAGTGCATCTTTTCTTTAATTAGTACGACACTAATTCCTATTATTTATTGTTCTGTTCATCTTTTATGATACGCACTATATATAGATAAGAGTTTTTATTTAGACTAAATATACTATAGAGGCATAGAAGTTAGATGAACCGAATAAGAAGTGTGTTCGACAGAATATGAAAGGCAATAGAGAAATTTGAAGAGCAAGAATATAGTTTTTACTATCTTACCATCGGAATTAATATTGGTCAATGAATTTCTATCATATTCTATAATTTACTAAAATACGTCATCTGTAATTATAGAAAATCTAAATCGTATATTTTATTGCCGCTTATTGAATAGGTGATACGCCTCTTTCATATAAACATTTATTCAACGCAAAAAAAGAAGACATTTTGAGAAACCTCCTATTTATATGAAAGAAAGAATTTGAGAAATGTTTTTTATATTTTCTTGTGTGATCTGTTGAAAACCAACACTGTCCTTTTTTTTCGTGTTATTTCATGTTATGTTCGTTGTTATAGAATTAAAAGAATAGAACTTTCGCAGTTTCATTTTTTTTCATTATTCTTCGAACATATACATATAATTGAGAAATAAATGTGATATTCATATTTTCCATTTACTCATACATAAAAGAATTCAATCTTTTTGTAATTTACTATAAAAATACGTTTATTTTTTTTTTATGATCTCATTTGTATCAAACTAAGATTGAATAATTTCGTCATGAGTACTGATTGATACCTCTGCATCTCTAATGGACTAAAGGACAGATAGCAGTTTGTGTAAGTAACATTTTTAATTTTTACAGTGAATTAGGATCTTCATTTTCATCAGGATCTTAATTGATAGACAGTTAA